GGAAGTGGGGAAGAAAAAGGGAGAAAGGGGGAACCGATTGCAATGATCAACACATAACCATACACCCCTCTCCAGGGGAAGATCAACAGAAAATATGGGGGGAGGGAGACAGCGGTCGGTGTAAGATATGAAAATAATGATAATTTATAATCTATCAAGGGGTTATGGGGAGGGAGGGAAAAAAAGAGTTGCTGATACCAAGAAAGTAAATGTCTAAAAAATAATGAAGGCATCATATGTACAAACATGTCTGATGCATTTGATGTATGGATTGTAACAAGAGTGTAAGAGTCCTCAATAAAATGATCCTTTAATAAAAAAATATTTTTAAGTCCTTCAATATCTACAAAGGCTTAAAAAGAAACCAAAAGTGTTAGCTTGTTGTTTTGCATACACATGTGTGTGGATTGAGGTTTGTATTGGGGACAAGGAATACCAGGATAATGTATTTTCTTCTGGGACCAATAGTGATTCCCTTTTGTTGTTATATGTTTATATTTAACTGAAAGTTGGGCCAATTGTTATCCTACATTGTGGTCTTTGTGCTCACTATCAGCCAAATATGCTAACAACAGAATGCTGTCTTTAAGACAAATGTGGAGATATAGAAAAGGGCAGTAAATCATCAACAAATTGTAATGAAGTTAATCCTTGGGAAAATCATAGAGGATTAGACTTGCAAGTACATTTTGATTAAAACAAACAAACAAACAAAACTGGTGTGCTTGTGTGTGTCTTCAGAGACCACCCTCCACTTGTATAGCCTGTTTCCTCAGGTAAAAGAAAACAAATGCTGGGTATTGAAAATGTACTATGAATACCAACTACTGTGAAGTGAAAGGCTTCAACGTGTGTACAAGGAGGCTTCAAAATGTTCATGGGAACATGAACTGAAAGATAATGAAACATTCCCACATCCTTTTGGAAGCTCTTTTGTGTTAGACTGAGAGAACCAGGAGACTTTCTACTCCTGTAAAGAGCTGCAGTCTTGAATGCCCGTAGAGGCAGGTACACGCCGTCCTGCAGGGTTGCTGTGACTCAGAGTCAAGTAGGTGGTGGGAGGTTTAGTAAGGAATAAATGTTGATTAGGAACCACAGGAAAGCTATGTGGCACAATGCAGTTAATGGCATTTAGCTCCTGTGGAAAACTCCAGCTGTGATTATTTGACTTCTTAATAGGGGAAACAGGAGTATTACAAGGGTTAGTGCAGGGAATAATTAAACCTGTACCAAGACTATTCTGATTAGAGTAACACCTTTTTTCGCCTCTCATTTTAAAGGAAACTGGAGGATTTTAAGTAAGTGTTTGGAATTATCTACTCGAATTACGAGAGGTTCCACTGGCTACATCCAGCCAACATCTGTGAACACTTCTAAAGCAGCAAACAGATCATAGGGCCTTCCTTGCTAGGCACACAGTAAGTGCTCGTACATAATAAAAAAACCCACATTTCCTTCAATTGTCTGGTAACTGTCAGATTTCTAATAATATCCCCCCCCCCTTTTCATTAAATTGAATATGACTCTTTCATGTGAGTATCATGACAAAGAAAAAAAGGATGTCTACCCTCCATGGGATAGAAAGGTACAGGAATGGGTTTTTTAGTGGGCTAGAGTTTGTTCTTGATTAGCAATCCCACAACTTTAGAGGTGCTGGTACTATGAAACAGAGGCTTCTGGTTGATAGCAAACAGGGTAATATCAAGTCAATTAAAAACTTATGAGGTTCCACATTGGTTTGAATATTTATTTATCTTTGGGGATTTAAACGTGTACCAGGAAAAGCCTATTTTTCCCTTCAAAGCTACTTCATTTTGATCTAGATTCAGTTTTATCTAATGGTTGATTATCCATTTTATTCAACTTTATATCAGATTTTAAATAATTTTTTACAAGTACCACTTTAGTACCTCCAAAAAACTTAAATCTCACTTAATTAGAAGATTGTAATTGCTGTAATTATAAAGTTATCAGTTTACTAGTCTTATCAATTTGTTTGCTTTCTAAAGTATGTGCAGGTTCACGAGTTAAAACAATCGGCCTCTGAAGTGGCCTATGAACCTCTGCCTTATTAACAAGGTTGAAATACCAGGGTTAAGGCTGCATACAAAGGCTGCATTATATGTTCCTGGTGCTCCTGTTGTAAAATAGCTAAACCCAGAATGTTTAGTAAATCTCAGAAAGAGTTGATTTTGCAGATCTTAAGAGCTTATGTCTTTATTCACTATGTAAGAATTGAGTTTTGTCGTCTTCAAAGGGGGAAAGGCTTTACTTAAGGGCATTAAATAAACCTTTCCTTTATTTCAGGCTTCTCTGTGCAAATCACCAGCTGTCTTACTTATACCAAAGACTAGACTAAGTTGAGGATCTTTCCAATCACCAGGCTCCAACCATTATTGAACACCCCCAAGGGTTACTAACCTGCAAATCAACATATGAATAAATAAATATATAATGTAACTTGTATTTGTAACTTCGACCAGGAATCTAAATATTTTTAGTAAATTTACAGGAGTGCTTTTGTACATTTACAGAGGCCAACTGGGATAAGCACTGGATTTCAATGTCCAACTTTCACATTCACATAAAGCAATTGAAAATACATGGCTGGGGATAGGCTCACCTTAGTCCTTAAAGTCACCTTCTTGTTTCTCAATATTCGAAAGAGGGTTTCTGCAGCAGATTTACCCATAATACGTCTTTTGATCTCTTGACTGCTGCTTCCATGAGCATTGATTGGGGGTCCAAGCAAGACTACGTCCTTGACAGCTTTCATGTTTTCTCCATTTATCATGATTTACCTATTGGTCCAGTTGTTAGGATTTTGGTCTTCTTTACATTGAGGTGTAATCCATACTGAAGGCTGTAATCCTTGATTTTCATCAGCAAGTGCTTCAAGTCTTCCTCACTTTCAGCAAGCAAGGTTGTGTTATCTATGTATTGCAGGTTGTTAATAAGCCTTCTTCCAATCCTGATGCTTTATTCTTTATATATTCCAGCTTCTATGATTATTTGCTCAGTGGATGAATTGAATAAGTATGATGAGAGGATACAATTCTGACCCACACCTTTCCTGATTTTAAACCATGCAGTATTCCTTGTTCTATTCGCACAACTGCCTCTTGATTGATGCACAGGTTCCATATGAGCACAATTAAGTGTTCTGGAATTCCCATTCTTCTCAAGGCTATCTTTAGTTGGTTATGATCTACAAAGTTGAATGCATTGGCATAGTCAATAAAATGCAAGCAACACCTTTCTGGTATTCTCTGCTTTTAGCCAAGATCCATCTGACATCAGCAATGATATCCTTAGTTCCACATCCTCTTCTGAATCTGGCCTGAAACTCTGGCAGCAACCTGACACTGTACTACTGCAGTCCTTGTTGGATGATTTTCAGCATAATTTTACTTGCATGTGATGGCAAAGATATTGTTTAATAATTTGTGCATTCTGTTGGGTCACCTTTCTTTGGAATGGGTACAAAAATGTATCTCTTCATAGATGTTTCTCAATTTTCCTGGCATAGATAAGTAAGTGTTTCCAGCACTTTATTGTCAAGTTGAAAATTTTGGTAGATATTCTATCAATTCCTAGAGCATTCTTTATGGCTAACACTTTCTTTGTAGCTTGAACTTCTTCCTTCAGCAACACTGGTTCTGGCTTATATGCTAGCTCCTGAAATGGTGGAATGTTGACTACTTCTTTTTGGTACAGTGACTCTTTGTATTCTTTTTATTCTTCTGATGCTTCCTGCATCATCCAATTTTTTGCCCATGTATCTTTCAATATTCCAACTCATGACTTGGATTTTTTTCTTGTTTTAATTTTTAAGTTTTCTTAATTTTTTCCTTTCAATTTAAGATAGCTGATCATGTTCTTCCTTTTTGGTTTTCTAATTTTAAGCAATTTCACATTTCATTATAACAATTTACTTTTCTCAAGCTGCTCTTTGAAAATTTCTATTAATCTCTGCATCCTTTCTCCCATTTGTCTTAGCTACTCTACATTTAAGAGCAAATTTTAGAGACTCTTTTTGCATTATTTCAATATTTTCTTTTTTCCCTGTCTTTTTAATGACCTTTTGCTGTTTTAATGAATGACATTCCTGATGTCCTTCCACAGCTATCGGGTCTTCTGCCATTATGTTTAATGCAGCAAATCTGTTCTTTAGATATTCTTGAAATTCAGATGGGTTAGAGTCATGGTCATTTTTTTGGCTCTGGCAGTCTTGTTTTTAATTTTCTTCAGCTTCAACCTGAATTTACATATGAACTATTGGTGGTCTAGTTTAGCTGCTAATATTGAGCTTATCCAACATCTTGTCCCATATCCATGGTCAATTTGATTTCTGGAAATTTGCATTACATTTGGAGATGTTCATGTGTCTAGTTGCTATTTGCATTGGTGCAAAGGTATTTGCTATGAAGAAGTTGTTGTTCTAAATAAATTCTATCATGTAATCTCCAGCTTAATTTCTATCACTAAGACCAAAATTTCCAACTACGGTTCCTTCCTCTTTATTTCCAATGTTTGCCTTCCAATCACTAATAATGATCAATGCATCTTGATTACAATCAATTTCAGACGTTGGTAGAGTTTTTCAGTTTCTTCATCTCTACCTTTGGTGGGGGAGTCCTAGCTCTATAGTCGTTACTCAATGGGCTGCTATCCAGAGTCAGCACTTTGAAAAGACTAGCCATTCAGAGGCAGAAAGGCAAGGTTTTCTACTCCCATAAAGAGTTACAGTCTTGGAAACCTACAGGGGCAGTTCTACCCTATCCTATAGAGTCCCTATGAGTTGGCACCAAGAGCCAGTTGGCAGTGAGAGCTCATGATTGGTGCATAAATTAGAATAATAGTTTAAATGATTGGATTTCCTTGAAGGCAGATAGATATAATCCTATTACTGACAGAATAGTACTTCAAGATAAACTTTGAGATGTCCTTTTTGACAATGAATACAATGCCATTCCTGCAGATTGTACCATTCCTTTTTTTTACAATTGTTAAACATGTTTATTGATTACTGCGTAATTCTGCAACTAACCCATGACAAATTACCAGATTGATTTTACATATTGCTTCTGGATTGAGGTTTTTCAACAGCTTCGAATTTGGGATCTTCAAACGTGAAGTTAGGGAACATATTCATGTCTGCTTTACCAAACATTTGCTTGAACTTAAAAAGCTCCTTCGCCATCGCTTGCTGATATTCTGGGCCAGCATCAACAGGTCCTCCAGATGCCTGTCGCTTAGATTTGTATTCGCTTATTTTGCCCACAAAATGTTTCTGTATCGGATCAAGTTCCTTGAATGCCACTGCTGTAACACCAATATTCCTCCACATATGGACTGAGACTGCTGACCCAACAACAGAGGAAAACCGGAAGAGCCTCTGGAGAACCAGGGCGACTCTGTTACCTTTTAGCAACCTAAAAACACACTTGACACTCAGCAGTAAGGCAACCTTTGTTGGCCCTCAGTGGGTTACATGTCAGACTGCTAAGCACAAGGTCAGCAGTTCAAAACCACGAGCCGCTTGCCCTTCAGTCCCAAGCTGCCAGAGAACCTGTACCATTCCTTACATAATAAACTATATGATTTTCTGCCACCCTCTTGTCCTTGCAGCAATACATAAGCAGGGAACTTCCAGAAATTCAATCTGGGTACAAGAGGATGTGGTAAGAGAGACATTATTGCTGGTATCAAATCGATCTTGGCTGAAAGAAGAGAATACTAGAAAGACACATGTTGTTAGGTGCCATCCAATTGGTTCCAACCAATAGTGACATGATGCACAACAAAGCACAACACTGCCTGGGCCTGTGTCATCCTCTAAACTGTTCCTTCGCAATGCTCCCGTTCACTAGCTATCCAGGAAATGCAAGTCAAAACAACAATGAGAGAGCATCTAACACCCAAAACTGAAGTGTGCAACTTAAATAAAGCCCGAGAACAACAAAGGCTGAAGTGGGTGTGGTAAGATTGGAGTTCTTGTACACTGTTGGTGGGCTTGTAAATACATACAGCCACTGTGTAAGAGGATAGGGTGATACCTAAAAAGATGGCAATTGAAATACCATATGACCCAACAGTGCTATTAGTGGGCATATATCCCAAAGATATACGAAACAGATCATGAACAGACATATGCTCCTCCTTGTTCATTGCAGCATAGTCCCCAATAGCAAGAACCTGGAAACAGCCTAAATTCCCATACTAGAAGCCCGGATAAAGAAACTGTGGTACAAACTCCCAGTGGAACACTACAGATCCCTAAAAAACAGTGATGAAACTATGAAACGCTTCAAGCTGTGGAGGAATCTGGAAGGCATTATGCAGAGTGAAGTTAGTCCATCACAAAAGGCAAACACTCTATGAGTCCACTGCTGTAGGAACAAGCAGCAGAATAAGTCCAAGGTCAGCCTTAGAGGACATCCAGTCTGCGGGCCAGATAGGGCAGATAGCTTGGTAGGGAGCCTGACTGGCACCAATGAACTATACACCATCCACTCGAGGTAAGAATTTGGAAGGTCATCTTGCCGGAGGGCGCCTCACATTAGCTGGGATCAAATGGTCAAGGGAGAAGACGGGATGTTGTCTCCCGAGTGACTACCATATAAATCTCTGATGAGGTCCCCCTGACAGGTAGACAGCCCTGGCAGAGGGATGAGGGATACCGATGGGAAAACAAGGTAGGAGAGGGGGAAGGAGCAAACGCATCTGAGGGAGCACAAATGCACGTCTGCTGGTAGGAAAAGAGGGAGGACTGACCTCTGGTTGGGAGGAAGAATGACTGAAATTGCTTTTGGGGACCCCAGTGGGTGAAGCGTCTTTGGTGGTATGCACTGAATGGGTCACGTTGATGCAGGCTTCTGGGAGCATCCTGGGAACCCAGGCGGGGTGCTGTGGATCACTAAGATACTGAATCCTGGATCTTCAAGGGACATGGGATGTTCCAGGGGCCGCATCAGTGAGACCCTATGTGGAAACTCTATTGGGTGAGCCGGACCCTACCTCAGACCCACTTGTAACTTGAAGACAGAAGTTGGAAAATACATGCTGTCTGAGGAAGTGGAAGACAGTTGTACTAAGATTATTGAATTGTTGGTTGACGGACAGACATGGTCTAGCTAAATCAATGCCCTTTATGCTCAATTAAATATGTATTATTCCAGCAAATCTGTGACTGACATGCTCAGTGATTATTGTTGAAATATTCTCTGACAATTAACTTCCATTGTTGGTGTAAATGGCATCCAGCTATGAAAAGACTGATTCTGTACAAGTGAATAATTCAGGTACTGTGACATGGAGTTAATCTACATTGGTCCAATATCCCTCTCTCACCGGGGCTTTAAAAAATTATACCAGGTGATAATCAAAGACAGTATTAACAGAAGATTGTTATGCCCCAGGGGGATGACCGATAAGACTCGCTACCATAAATTAACAATGAGGTTTTGAAAGAAGGGTGCCAAAGACAGGTAAAACAAAACCCCAAAAACCCATAGACCCAGAAATGGATTTGGGGCTCACACTAAATCCTAGCTCCAACTTAAGAACAATTAGTTCTTATATCATGGCCCTGCTCAGGACTCACCCTCAGGAAGCAAGGGAATACAGAAAATATGGGTGCTATAGCAAAGTGTAGTGAAGAAATTAAATGGTCCCTGGCTATCAGATAAAATAGTGTCTGGGGTCTTAAAGGATGGTTTCCAAACAAGCAGCCACCTAAGAGAGATGTCAACTAATTCCACAAGGAAGAAGCACGACCTTACCAGTCACGGAAGGATTATAAATCATATAATCAAAAGTTGAAGGAGGGATTAGAATCAGAGCCTAAATTGTGAGAATTTGGTTTTCAGAAGGCTGTGGATGACAGTGGGAGTCCAAGATACATTTGTGGGAACGCCATAGGAAATAACCCTCTGGTGATCTCCCTCTATCCATAATTGAGGCATGGGAGGAAAGTGGTTACTTAAGAGACTGCACTGGAGAGATGAGTATAGATGATCAAAGGGATAATAAACCTGATTGAACAGTTAAAACCTTGTCAATTGATGCCCCCACTGATGCATGCTGGACCTGATCTGATTTTTAACATTTTCTGTGTTTTGTTTTGTTTCAGGTTTCATTTGCTCATATTAGGCTTTCTCTCAGAGGACTCATGCCATTGGGGGTCACCTTCTTGAAGTTGTGTCACATGTTTTTCTGTTTTTCTTCGGCATCTGAAACCCAGGATTGATGAACCTATAGTGACGGCAAGTAGAGTAAGGGTTTTGCGGGGTGGGAGTCAGGTGGCCGCCGGGTACAGGGGTGGCAGTGGGGCTGTAAGAGGGAGATGCATGGAGTCCAAAAGGGAGAAGAATGTTTGGAAATGGATTGAGGTAGCCATTGTACAATACAGCGCGATGCGACTGAACTATAGAAGCAAACTCCAATTGATAATACATGTCAAACGCCCTCCAAAAGCAACAAAAAACTGTTTCTATGCTTGAGCCCATTGTTGCAGTCACTGTGAAAATCCACCTCATTGAAGGCCTTCCTCTTTCTTGCTGCCCTTTTTTTCACCAAACATGATGTCCTTCTCCAGGGGCTAGTCTTTCCTCACAATATGTCCAAAGTATGTAAGATGAAGTCTTGTCATTCTTGCCTCTAAGGAGCACTCTGGCCGTCCTTCTTCCAAGACAGATTGGTTGTCCTTTTAGCAATCCATGGTACTTCTGATCATCTTCTCCAAGACCATAGTTCAAAGGCATCTATTCTTTCCCCCTCTTTCTTATTTAATGTCCAGCTCCCGCGTGCCTATGAGGCAATGGAAAATGCCATGGCACGGTTCTGGTGCACCTTCGTCCTCAAAGTAACATCATTGCTCTTCAATACTCTAAAGAGGTCTTGTGCAGCAGATTTACCCAATACCATGTGTCTTTTGATTGCTGTTTCCATGAGCATGAATTGTGGGTCCAAGCAAGACAATCCTTAACAACTTCAACATTTTCGTCATATATCATGATGTTACCTATTGGTCCAGTTTTGAGGATTTTGGTCTTCCTTACATGGAGTTGGAATCCATACTGAAGGTTGTAATCCTTGGTCCTCCTCTGCAAGTACTTCAAGTCCTCCTCACTTTTAGCATGCAAGGTTGTGTCACCTGCATACACCAGGTTCCTAATAAGCCTTCCTCCATCCTAATACCACATCCTTCTTCATATAAGCCAGCTTTTCTGATTATTCACTCAGTATACAGATTGAATATATGTGGTGAGATAGCAGAACCCTGTCACACACCCTTCCTGACCTTAAACCAGACCTTAAATGGAAGTTGACTTGTATTTTATGAATAGGAATATGCAAAGCTACTTATTCAACTTTGTGGATCACACCGAACTATGGATAACATTGGGAAGAATGGAAATTCCAGAAAACCTCATTGTGCTCATGCAGAGCCTATGCATAGACCAAGAGGGAGTCATTTTACAAGAATATGGGGTGATAGTTAGGCTTTATGTCAACTTGTTTGGATGAGTATTTTCTCATTCAGTCATCTAACAATGTAATCAACTCCATGGTGGGATCTTCTATGAGCAGCCAAGTAGCTGTGGGAATAACAGGGTGTATAACGCTACCCCATTACTCTGGTTACAACCAGGATACAATTGAAAGTAATTCTAATCAGGTTGTAAAAAAGCTAAAAAAACACCAACCCCCAAAACTCATTGCCATTGGGTCAATGCTGACTCATAGTGACCCTATAGGACAGGGTAGAACTACCCCTGTGAATTTCTGCGTCTGTCACCCTTTATAGGAGTAGACATTCCCCATTCTCATCTTATTAACAATCTGTGATATACAGATAATACAACCTTGGTTGCTGAAAGTAAAGAAGACGCGAAGCACTTGCTGCTGAATGATTGTAGACCTCTGACCAAAGATTGTAGCCTTCAGTATGGATTACAAATCAATGTGAAGAAAACCAAATCCTCACAACCAATGCAAAAGACAACATCATTAGAAATGGAGAAGACATTGAACTTGTCCAAGATTTTATCTTGCTTGGATCTGACATCAATGCTCATGGAAGCAACAGTCAGGAGATCAAGCAATGTATTATACTGCATTGGACAAATCTGCTGCCTAAGATCTCTTTAAGTGCTGCGATCAAGGATATCATTTTGAAGACAAGACAGTGTGCCATGGGATTTTTTTGGTAGGTGTAGTGCCAGCTGTGGTTTTCTCCTTTGTTTTAAAAAATCATTTTACTGGGGGCTCATACAACTCTTATTGCAATGCATACATACATTCATTGTGCCAAGCACATTTGTACATTTGTTGCCATCATCATTCTCAAAACACGTGCTTTCTACTTGAGCCCTTGGTATCAGCTCCTCATTTTCCCCCACTCCCCCCCCCTGCATTTTGAACCATTGATAATTTATAAGCTATTGTTATTTTGTCGTATCTTACACTGTCCAATGTCTCCCTTCATCCACTCCATGGTATTTATAATCACCTCATATGCTTGTGAAAGTTGTACAGTAAATGAGGAAAAGCAAAGAAGAGTCTACGTATTTGAATTATCATGCTGTGAAGAACATTGAAGTACCATGGACTGCCTAAAAACCAAACAAATCTGTCTTGGAGGAAGTACAGCCAGAATGCTCCTCAGAAATGAGGATGTTGAGAATCCATCCTCAAGTCAAGCCCCAGAAAAGGATGTTAGCTAGACTTCTGCTAAATACTCTTCTTAGGGAAACACTTGAAGTCCTGGCAAATCCTCACCAGAATTCTTACTTCTTCTATGTTTAATTTCAAATGACAAGTTGGCTCTTAATTTAAAATAAGGCAGACTGAGAGAAGATGCTCTTTAGAAAGCAGAGGAAACGCCACTTTGTGGAAGCTGACTTGGAGCCTGCAGCTTGAGTGGCTGCTGCCAGGTTATAAACATTTCCTTGGGCTATTATTGCAAAAGCAGAGGATGTGCCCACGGGGATATGAAGGAATCGTCATACTTGCCCCTCAAGTTTTTAAGCTAGTTTATTTCCTTTTATATCCAGAAAAGCTGAATAGGTGTTGAGGGGCTGGGGGTGGGGTGGGAATCAAGATCCTGGTTTCCAAGGGACAAACAGACTCCTGAGAAATCTGATATCACACTGTACTGACCACACTGCTGGTCATCCAGAAACCATAGGCTCAGCTCAGCACCAGGAACCCTGATGAAGAAACCAAACGGCTGCCTTCCAGGATCACATGCATAAAGGGGATTTTCCCAGCTCAATTTCTTATTTTCAAAATCAGACGAAAATTTCTGACGGCAATGTTGGAGGGTTGGGGGGTAGGTAAGAAATAATGGATTGAAGTCAAGTGAACTCTAATTCACTTGTCTCCAGATTTATGATCCAGCAGCATAGGGGTTCCCAAGAGACATTCTCCTGCCATAGTAACCCCTCCCCCCTTTTTTTCTCCTTCTGAAAGTTAATGTATGTGAGCCAAGTGTTCTTTTTTCTTTCCCTGGAGAACACATGAAAAAGGTTCTGCGTCCTGTATTTTAAAACATCTGGTGGGACCATCAGGAGAGAAAATGCAAAGGCTATAATTTAACTTACCTTTTGGGATAAATTTTATTGCATTTACTTTTGTGGATACACAAAAATGTTTGGCGTTTCCCCCATTAGTTAATGAGCTCAGAATTTTATTAATCAATGTCTAAATGTTCATAAAGCCATGGCCACCTTTTAAAACCAGGGGCAAGGACCATTTCCAACTGCTTCTATTCAGAAGAAATAATATTAAAATTCAGGTTGCATATGTGCTGAAATCAGTCTTCAGGGAGTAGGGCATACACTCTCAATTATTTCAACCAACTCCAGAGGTACATATCAAGGCCAGACACTGCCCCTCTCCTCTAGGTCAAGCAATACAGCCTAGGACAGTGTATATGGTGCCCTCATACAGTCCAAGCTGAACTCCTTACTTGTTACCTTCAGTCAAGTCCAGTACTGAAACTCACTTCTAGCCCAGTCCTAAAGGTATCAGAGCAGTGGGGCATTAAGCACACAAATTGAGGGCAGAATGTTAATGTTCTGTCCTACTGTGATTCTCCCTGGAGTTCTAAGTTGCTGGGAAAGTTGGAAATGTATTTTATACCCTCCTTTCTTTATTCTCTCATTTAGGGAAACTATGTCCCAACTGGTTGATAAAATTAATGAAAGAAGAGATCATGTTTGTTTTGCTAATATTCAATAGGAAGCACCCCTGAACAGTATAAAGTATAAAGTAGGTGCTTAACAATATTTGATTAATTCCCAGCAATTCCATTCCTATGTAACTCTAAAGTAAAATGAGTATACTTGTCCAATAAAAGTTATGATAAGAATGCTCCTAACAGATTTGTTCATAATAATCACAAGTTCAACGATAATAGAACAGATAAGTAGATCACAGATCGTGCAATGGATTACTACCTTGGGGATAAAAGAAAGAATCAGAAAAAGATTTTCTCTACTCAAGAACAATTTTGAGCAAAAAGCACCAACAGCATATCGAATTGCATTTATGTTACAGTTCAATAATAGGCAGAATAACTCTCTGATACATAAACCAGGAGAGTAATTGCTTCTCTGTTGGGCAGAGAAGGGAGTAAGGTGTTGGAGGTGTTGACTGGAAACGCTCCAGAATTTCTTGAAGAGCTAGAAGTCCCTTTGTTTGTAATGTTGGAGTAGACACTGAACTGTTCCATGTTGGGAATACCTACTGAAAGAAAATTATAGTTTAGAGACTTAAGAATTTGGTCCATTTAATTGGCCTATTAAAAGGAAAAGTTCGTGAGGATAGAGATTTGTCATTGTTCATCTTGAATCTCAGCACCTAGAATGGTGCCCATCACTCAACAAAAAATACGTTTTTGAATAAAGGCAGACGCTGGGTGTTCATCTTCCCAAGGCCATGCTCCTCCCCCTGAATAGCCTATTCAACACCTTCACAAGCTAACACCACCTTCTTCCCCACCTGTGGATCTGCTAGACCTGGAGGTTTAGTTGTTGCCTTCAGTCAGCAGCTCTGCAATGGAACTTCACATTCCCACCCTCAGCTGGTTCTTCTGGGCTTCCTCTTTCTTATCCACCTTTATCCTCAGCCATCTTCAACGTTTCTCTCTCCCTTGACTCACACAGATAATTTGTAACCAAGAGATCATCTGTTCCCAACACATCATTTTCGTTCAGGCTTTGACTGCTTCTGCCTTGAATATACACTAAGAATTTTCAATCCATTGTTTTCACTAGATTAATCTTCTTAAGGGACAGCTTAAGTCAGGGCACCCTTCAGGTCAGAAACTTTCAAAGATTTCACCGTGTTTAGCAAATAAAACGATGCACTCATTGCTAGTCTTCAGCACTTTTTAATCTCTATCTTTCATGACTTCTTTACACACACCTTATACTTTAGTCAAATTTAACCACTTACACTCCCCAAATGAGCGTCTCCATTTCCTATGTCCATGCTTTGGTCGACGTTTGGGCTGGGTCCGGATCATGCAGACCCTTCCCCCAGCCTCTCAGAAAGATGGGTGATTCGCTGGACTTTGCAGATGCTGCCTCCAGCATTCCAAGTAGCTTATCTCTCTGGGCAGGGTCCACACAGCTCCTTCCCTTGGCCTCTCAAGGCCAGAGCTGGACTGTGCAGCCTCTTGCCCCACATTCCAAGAAGCTGGTCTGAGAAGGACTCAGATTTTGTGGCTACACACCAGGAAGCCTCCCTTCTCCTTACTGGAGCAAGCCCCAGCAGCTCTCTCCACCTCGTTTGCATATGTCCCTGACCCAAATCCTACAAATATCCCACTGCCCCATGGGGCACATTTTCCCTGACCTAACTCTTTGGGTCTTGGAACCTGCCCAGAAGCTCAAGATGCTCCTGTTCCTTTCTCGGCAATCCCTTCCCTCCTGGGAGCTCTTTCCCTGCCCTAATAAAGCCGCTCTTAACCTCACGTTCTTTGTCTCAATTCTGTCTTCATTCCGTGTCTCCATGTTGACCTCTCAGTCATGGCTCCCTCCTGCACCAATTTTCTTTCTATCTTTTATTCTCTACACCACCAGCTGGTCCAGTGGGATGTTTGTACTGACCATGCTTCACATGGGACAAAGATGAGACTTTCTACACCTGTAAACAGTTACAGTCTCAGAAACCCACAGGGGCAGTTCTACTCAGTCCTATAGGACTGCTCAGAGTCGACATTGACTAATGGCAGTGAATTTGTCTTGTTCCTAATTCCCAAGGCCTGTAATCAGTTTATGATTCCGATCTGATTTCCCCCCCTATTTGTGGTATTCTCATGGAATTTACTGCTTTATGGTGACTTAGCTTCCTTTGAATTGTCTGGTCTTGTGGTCCCAGTCTTATTCTTCTTGGAATGCACACTTTATCTTGCACTCAACACTCGAAAACCCGAATCACTGCTATCAAGTCGATTCTAATTCATAGTGATCTTAAATGACAGGGTAGAGCTCTCCCACGTGGCTTCCCAAGACGGTTAATCATCATGGGAGTAGAAAGCCTTGTTTCTTTCCCACAAAGCAAGTAATAGGGTCAAACTGCTGGCCTTGCAGGTTAACAGCCCAATGCATAACAATGATGTCAACAGGCACCTCAAAAAACTCACCACCATCAATTAATTGATTCTGATTCATAGCAACCCCATAGGACAGGGAATAGCCGCTCATGTCAGTGTCCAAGACTGTAACTCTTTATGGAGTAGAAAGCCTTGTCTCTCTCCTGCAGAGCGGCTGGTGGTTTTGAACCTAACAGCTCAACTCATAACTACTATGCCAGAAGGCCTCCTCCTCCTCCTCCTCCAGAGAGGAGGAGGCCATTTAATGCATTTCAATTAAAAGAATAAAGGAAAGAAAAACAACCAACCACTCAGGTAGATGTTATATTGAAGAAGACTCAATAAATTAATTCACACTTAGATATAAATGGTGACTTACCAGATTATACAAAGATATGCTCATTGTAATTGAAAATATCAATGAATACTTACATGAAGATAGAATTTCAGACAGGTAAGGATTGAGCTTCCTGGTGGCCCCTTAAATCAGATCACGAACTATTCTTATGAGGATAAACATTTTCCTTAATGGCTGGCTAGGGCTGGATACTTCAGGATTCCTAAGAGGTATTGGTCTTCCATCTGGCCACGTGCAACTTCACCATCCTACATTCCCTTAGCTGAAAACCAAACAAGATGAACTTTTATAAAGTGCCTATTTTTCTTGTCTGCCTAAGGCATGGAAACTAAGGCCTCAGGTTCCTGGTCTGTCTAAGGCACTGAAAGCTCTACTTTGCCATATAGGAGATAAAAATCAGTGCAGGAACACTGTAGGCGGTCTCAGCACTGATCTTTCTACTTAATCCCTCTTTACCTGGGAGGTGTGCTATGCTTAATTTGATTCCACATCCCTTTGGCTATAAAAAGAGACCCTACATCTCTCCTTCCCTGAACACTGTAGGGAGTTATTCCAGATTCCCTCTACAAACTTCATGGGAAGTTAGAGTAGGGGGTGATTTGAGGCAGATTGCCTGATTCTTATGAATCTCTCCTCTTCTGAATTCAATACGACCAAGGGAGATTTTCCCAGGGAGCAGAGAAGCATTCTAGTGTGTTGACATACAAGTGCTCCTGGGGTAGGCCAAGGGAAATCATCACACAGAAAGAAGACCAGAGAAAGTGTGTGAGTGTGGAGAACACAAGGCCACAGGTCAAGAACGAAAAGTGAAAATAGGAGAGGATGTTCCTCCCCATTCCTTTCGATGAACATATTCACTTAAGGCCGACAGCAAACATACACAAGTGCACGCTAAAATACCAAAATCAAGTGCAAAGTTGTCCTTGGAAAAAAGATTATAGTCCCTGGCAGAAAACCATGAAGGGAAGAGTGAGAGGCTGGGTCTGTCCTGACCCCGTTATATGCAGAAACAATCTCTCAATACAAAAAAGCTACTGCCTGCTTGTCAGGCCAGAACCAGGGCCGGGTTTTCCACTCTCTTTGGCTCTCCTCGAGGAAGACTCAAACTCATTGCCATCTGGCAGTGAATCTAAGCAAGCGGGCAGGGTTCCCACTGCTTTAAGTGAAGGCATGTGCACTTCTTCAAGTCCCATTGAATACTCATTCGCCTGGTCCACTGTGCCTCTTAGGGAGGGTTAAGATGTTTTATCCATTGGTCCTTGCAAATTGTCATCCTGTAAGAATGGGAAAGGGTTTTTTTTGCTCCCTAAGTTTTTACACATGAAAAGATTTGCTACCCAATGAGTCAAATACTGGCTCTTTCTCATGCGTGGGCTCTCCCTACACATTTCTGTGGCTACATGTTATGTCCAAAGTTGAGAGAAGTTGGTAGAACTTAAAAACCTACTTATAGTTAGTCACTGAGCATGATTCTAAACATGCCCAAGGCAATGCAGCCCAGAAACATTGCTAATTAAATCTCAGAGGAAAGCTAAGTCTGACCACAGTCATCTTGAGTCTAAAATGGACCAGCTAAGGAGTAAGGGAGATTCATTTTGTGGTCACGCCAGTTGGGGCCTTGTCGCTGCCCAGCAGTGGAGGGGGTGGGGGTGGGGGGGCAGCTCTGCACTGTTTGCTTGGAATCCTTGAGTCAAGACTGACAGGCAGAGCCCCAGAGGAAGGAGTGGATAAAGGGAAGCCTGGGGAGCTGGAGAATTTCTATCTCGCCTCCTTCCCTTTCTTGTGTTGCTTTCTTGACCCGTCGGCTCAGGGCATCTCTCTCCTTTGGCGTCTTTCCCTTTGGCTTTGTCAGTCTCTCCTCCTCTCCCTACGCCAATCTAAGTCAACCGTTCAAGGCAAATACATCCCATTTGATGATGATTTCTGAATGTAAAAATGTTGAAGAAGGAAGACGTGACTGCCATACTAGTGTGTGTGGTTGGGTGAGTGGGGTGGAGCAATAAGTAGCAAAGGCTTAAGGACAGCGGGAAAAGCTCCTGTAGAGAATGACAAGTAATTACAAAACCTCCTGGAGATCGCTGTACGACCAGTTGGGGCTGGAAGCTACCTGTGTGAAATGGTGCCCATCTGCAAGACTTCTCTAGCTGCTCGCTCCTTTCTCTAGCTGGGGCCTACATGTGGAGAAAGCAGAAGCCTCTGGCAGGCGAGGGGCTGACTCGCCAGCCACGAAGTTTACATAGAAGGAAATTGAGGGCAGGAGGAGCCGAGGGAGAGAGAGGGCATCCTGGGGTCAGAAGAGTGAGAGGAACATCCTGGGAGTTATACCTCAGACTTCAGTTTCTTTGCGGAGTCTCACTGAATCGAGTAGGCAGAAGAGACCTACATTGCCAATAGAGCTCCGGTTCCTTTTATTTGGTCTTTACCATACTCTGGAGACTTTCCTTATTTATACATTCCACTCACCACCACTCCACAGCCTAGTCTCTGTGGAACCTGA